CGTCAGAAAAGGTCACTACATTTCCTGAGTGGGTATTTGATTGGATCACCAACCTCTTGTAACAGATATTAAACTAAGGTTAAAACGAATCCAACCGACTAACCTATAAACTTGATAACTACTTACCAGTGGAACATGCCGGATTCAGGAAAGGATACAGCACAATCGACCATCTACATGCGCTTACAATCTTAATTGAGAAAACCAATGGATACAACTTTCCGCTGTACTTAGCATTCGTAGATTATGAAAAGGCTATCGACAGCATTGAACACTGGGTGGTGGAAGAAGCTCTGGTCACTAGTAGCATAGATTCAAGATACCGACAATTGATACATGATATTTACCAAAACGTAACCATGACCGTAATTCTGGACGACAAATTAATAACGATAATATAAAAGTTAAACGAGGAGTCCGACAAGGCGATATAATGTCACCTAAACTGTTTACCTTGACCCTCGAAGATATAATAAAATCAACAGATTGGGAAAACAGAGGAATATGTATTAACGGAAAGTAACCTAAATCACCTTAGATATGTGGATAGAAATGATGATCTGAATGTGGATAGAAATGAAATGATATCTGATCTCCTCGGAACGACAAGAACTAGAATTAATGCTGAATGAACTTCATGAAAAATCACCGCAAAAAGGCCTAAAAATTAACTTCAACAAAACAAAAGTAATGACAAACACGGAAGACCAAGAGGCAATAAAAATACAAACAGAAAAAATAGAACAGGTAAATGAGTATATCTACCTAGGACAAGCAATCAGAGCTAACAGAGAAAATCAAACAGCCGAAATATCGAGACGAGTAAGAATGGGATGGGCAGCGTTCGGCAAACTTTCTTACGTTCTAAAAATCAAACAACCCTCTATACTTACGAAGCAAGCTATATAACTCCTGTATAATAGCGGTGCTTAACTACGGAGCACAGACCTGGACATTTTATACAGACCAGTTTGGATAGAATAAGGAAGGCACAAAGAGTGATGGAGAGACAAATGTTGGTATATACACTTAAAGATAGAAAACGTAACCAGTGGATCAGAACCAGAACAAAGACAGTGGACACGATAGAAGAAGCAGCAAAACTAAAATGGAAATGGGCTGGACACAATGAATGTCTCCAAGACGGACGATGGAACAGTGCCATCGGAAAGTGGCGTCCATACAAATGCAAAGAGATCAAGAGGCAGACCACATATGAGGTGGAAAGATGACATCAGGAAACAAGGAGGTCCCACATGCAAAAAACAGCTCAAGATAGGGAAAGATGGAGAGAAATTGGGGGAGACCTATATCCAACAATAGAAGGATAGAGAATAGGTTAAAAAAAGAATACGAATCCAACGACTAAAACCAAAAACCAATATAATAATTTTGACGACCTGAGCATAAAAAATACAATTGAAAAAGAATTTAACAATAGAATAAAGAACATCGAAAAATAACTAGAAGACCTAAAGGAACTTATGGAATGAATTTAAAAACCAAGTTAACAAAATCTGACATGGATGACAGAAGATATTTTAAATTTGATGGAACAACATCGACTTATAAAATCGAATGAAAGAGAATATAGACATCTAAAGAAAAAAAATTAAAAGGAAGATAAAATTAGTCAATGAAAAAGGAATGAGAGAAAGCTGTGAGGAAATTACAATGTATTGCTTATTTAAAAAAATAAGCAACATATTTAAAAGACGAGTTTTCTCTGTACAAGTTGACAATAACAACAAAATTATTGTAAATGAGAACGAAATAAGAAGAGAATGTCAACTGTAAATATAAGAGTTCTTTGAAGCTGACGGCCCAGAAATTATGAAATCAGAGGTAGAACACGCTTGAAAAAATGCTAAAATTAAGAAAGCTTCTAGTCCAGATAATACACCGAGTTGCTAAAGTTAATAGATGAAGATAACAGAAAAATACTAGTAAAACTGTTTAATGCAATGTATAACACTGGAGTGATTACCTTAGACTGGCGAAGATACAGAATTTGGTTTTAGAAATGCTATGGGAACTAGGCTATTACAAAAATGCAGATGCTAAACAATATAGGAAATAGGTGACAATGATATTCGTGTCATTAAAAATCTGTATTGGAATCAAGTTGTTTCAAGAATCAAGTATTGTAAGTTGTCTTTGGATTTCGCATGTTTGGTTATCCCTGCTGATTTTTATTTTATGACCCAAATATTCAAATTCATTCATTCATTCAGTCCAAATTCATTCTGTGGCCCACTTTTGAACATGCACAGTCCAATTCATTTAACATATCTGTGGCTTCTCCTAAATTATCTCTGATAAGGACAATGTCATCTGCGAAACGAAGATGGTTAAGTTTTTCGTCATCTATTGTTGCTACTCTGTGGTTTCAATTAACCATCTTAAAAGCCTACTTTAATGCCGTTATGAATAATTTTGCTGACAATGTATCTCCTTGCCTTATGACACGTTTTATTTGTATTGGTCGGGATTTATCGTGTATCTTAACAGTCATAGCGGCATTTTTGTAAGTATTGTAAATAAGTTCACTATACCTATGGTCAATCCTGCTGTCATTTACTGCTTCTATAAGGCTGTCTATTTCGATCGTGTCGAACGCTTTATGAAAATCTATGAAAGTGATGACAAGAGGTTTGTTGTATTCTTTAGATTTTCCAGTGAGTGTCTTTTCTGTATGGAGGTAACCATTGGTACCGTAATTTGAATGGAATCCTTCCTGCTCTCTCGGTTGGTAGAAATTTAATTTTTTCTCCAATCTTGATGTCACTAACCTAGTGAAGAGCTTGTATATGTGGTTCAACAGGCTTATAGGTATATAAGTTTCTAGGTATGTTCTATCTCTTTTTTTATGCAAACGGATGGTTACAGCATTGTTCCATTCTTTGGGCACCTCTCATTGCTGCAAACATAGATTAAACAGCTTCTGTAATTTATTTAATAGCATATTTGCTCTAGTTACGATTCCATCCTCTCCTGGGACTTTGTTATTTTTTATTTTTTTTTTAAGGCTTATCGAATCCCATCTACCTTTATCTCTGACATTAGTTCGAAACCTTGATTTATGATTTTCTTTGAAATGGCTGTTTGTATTACAGTTTGATCTTCTCGTTTACTGTCACATAATTTTTCGTAACACACTTCAACGAATTGTATTAACTCGTCTCTACGTGATATTATTTCATTTTGCTTATTTCTTAATTTATGAATTTCGCATTTCCCATTCCTTAGCTTTCGTAGAACTATTAGGTTGTTATTTTTCTCTACAGAAGACAAAGAATGGTTAAGTGCTATATTTGGTCTGTACTTTTGTATGGAGCAGAAGTATGGACACTAAAAGTATTAAGTATGAACAGATTTGAAGCATTGGAAATGTGGATTCATAGACGGATGCTGAAGATACCTTGGATAGCAAGAAAAATTAATGAGGACTAACAAGAAAAACTAAGAAGGTCAACAAAGACGGTGAATTGTTAAAAACTGTTAAATACTGGAACATATCTTATCTGAGACATATAGTGAGGGGCATTCGACATAGGTCGTTCCAATCGTCCCAACTGATCCTTAAAGGCACAATAGACGGTCGTAGGGACTCACATATCAAATACAGAAACAACTATTCCATGTGGTAGAAGATGGACAAACCTTTGCAATGGTGTTCACTAATGCCGAATAACTCTGATATGGCACGCAAAAAAAAGAAATCAACTTTTTCAAGAGTTGTTTTTGTTAAATAAGCATAAGCAATGAAAAAACAGAACAAAAAAATATCTCAAAATAGTGTGCCTCATAGTGGTGAGATACAAGCAACAATAATCTGGCAGTTAGGCCTGGCGCATATTGAATCCAGCCGAAGCCCAGCACACGCCGGCGAAATGCGTGGACAGTTTTGTGTAAGTGCGGTTAGAAGCGAGGTACCGCAAATGTTTCTTCTTCCTGTTGTTTACTTTTACTTGTTTTTGTTTCCAGGATATTGAAAGTTAAATTATGCAACAAGATGAAGTATGAAGGATGAACATATGCTTCTCGATTGAAGTCATGTTAGCAACTGGCCACGGCAACATGGATAGCCATGGATGGGTTCAATATGAGCTGCGCTAGAGCACTTTGGTTGCATTGATAGTCATGCCAAAAAATGTTTACAGGTTAAAATAAGGAAAAGAGCTTCAACATCACAATAATTGTACTAAAATAATGATCTCCACGAAGTCAAATATTCTCAGGGGAATATTCTCTCTAATTATTTCAGAGGAAACACTGTCATAAGTTAGAAATATAAGAATAGCATCTTGGAAATCTTACTGGTAAAAATATAGAGTTCGTGGGATACGTTCAAAAGAAAGAAAGTAAAAATTGCTTGCATCCATGATACTAATTAAACAAAGACAAAGTACGAAAGAAATTGGTTCCAAAAGATGTTCCAAAATTCGCTGGTGGCTTCCTCGGTATAAAAACCTTCACCAAATTATCGAAACACGAGGAACATAATATTATCTTTTAAAGTATTTTAAGTCTCTTAAAATTTAAAAAATACAAAAAATTTGTCAGTATCAAATCTATATCAGCTCTATATCCTATTAAGTAATTTTATTAAATCATTTATTATTTATTAAATCATTTGTAGTTAAACTGGAATATGAAAACCTCAGATTCGAGTTCCAACATGGTAAGAACTTTCAATGTGGTCCTTGTCCTATTGCACTTTTTAATTATTAAATTTTCTGGGAATTAGACGTTAAAATTAATAATCATAATTTTGGTTGACTCAGAAAAAACATAACAACTAAAAAGGAAATTTTTAAAATTTAATTAATTTTAATTTCGAATATCAGAAGCCAAAAATGCATAAAAGAATGTTTATTACAAATAAAATGACATGTTAAAAACACGACAATAAAATATCCCAAAATAAAGTGTAACAATGCCGCAAGTTGCGGTCAAGAAATCTTAATATTACTATACTGAAATAAAATATTTCATACCTGTAAATATTGACCAAAACTTCAGTTCCGCCGATTGCACTTAAAGTTGTTCAAACACTAGTCACTGTAAATGTAGGTAATGTAACCGTAGGTGATAGTTATTAAAACAGTTGATTGCGTCTTGCACTGCAATGTATAGCGAGGCTTGCGATGTAATGTGCGGTTCAAGGCTTGGTGCTTTGGCTTCTAGACTGTCTCTCCCATCAGGTATACTAAATAATACCACTTTTGTGGATTGTGGATTTTTATCTTAAAATCTTTTAGCGTCTGCTGTTTAAGTTTGTTTGTTTATATTATAACACTAAGTACTTAATTGTTTATTTTTTATTTTTAGGGAAGAGCAGATACTGAAAGTTTGTGTAGCAAAGTTTGGCTTCAAGAAAAAATCACTAGACTTGGAAATATGTATAATTTTGCCTGTACATTATTTATAAGACCAAAAAGACTAAAAACTAGGTATATAGGAAAATCTTAATAAAAATCCAGTGGTCAAAGTTTATGAGAAAACGTGGAAATTTATGTTTTTTTTTCGTTTTCATTTTGTGGGGGGATGTCGATTTTTTTGTCATGTTCTTCAGTTAAGCAGCTAACTAGTTTGTCCAATATATACCCCACCGTAATTTGAACAGTGAATTTTATAATCACGCGATTTTCTTAACCCTTTAAGCATGAATTTTTTTTTTTGTCAAGAATAAATTTTCAGGTACGAATTCTAGTTCTATTTTTATGTAAACATATTGAAAAAAAAATCTAGCTACAAGGAAAACTTTATTGACAAAAAAAAATGATTTAAAGCTACAGCCCAGACAGCACAAATACGTCACATGGACGTCCAAAAGATGTACCTCATTAAATGTCCGGACATCCCATGGACATCCGTTTACATAATTTGGATGTCCCCGGGACGTCCAATAAGACATAAATGTTACCAAAAAGTACGTCCCCTGGACGTCCCAGGGATGTTCATGGGGACGTACATAGTACATATACAGAACTTAATACAGACTTATATTGGACCTAAGAAGGATGTATTGGGGACATCCATTGTACGTCCACATGGACTAATACAGGACCTAAAAGAGGATGTATATAGGACCTAAATCGAACTTACAAAAAACTAATAAAATGAAAAGCCAAAATTAATGGGATTTTTATTTATTTTAAGTACATTACTCATACTTACTTTACAAATGTAGCAACTTACACCACAACAACAAAAATTACCTATAAAATTACTATATACCTACTTAATGTCTTCTTCTTCTTAACGTGCCCTATCAAGTCCCCTTGACGTTGGCGATTAACATGTCGAAACTGTCTCTCTCTCTCAAGCTATTTTAAAGAGTTGCTCAGCTTTCCTTATTCCTGTCCATTCCCTGATATTCTTCAACAAGGAGGCCTGCTTTCTACCAATTCCTCTGCGTCCTTCGATTTTACCCATCATAATAATTTGAAGAATTTATTTAAAATCCTTTATGAAGAATATCGGTCTGAAGAATCTGAAGAGTCTGAATCCAAGTTGAAGAATATTATATCGGTCTCCCCTTACTACGTGTCCAAAATAGGCCATCTTTTTACATTTGATGTTATCAAGCAGCTCGCGAGCAGCATTTGCTTTCTCAAGGACTGCCACATTTGTCAGCATAGCCGTCTATGGAATTTTTAGTATACGTCTGTGCAGCCACATTTCAAAGGCCTCCAGACGATTAATGGTGGATATTTTTAATGTCCCTTTAAACCATGTACTTTCGAAGTTGAAGTTGCAAGTTATCATTACAGAAGAATGACCTCATTTTTAAAAATGTCGTGCGGGCTATCTCGATTCTACATTTTATCTCTTGATCTGGATCTAGTTGTTCAGTAATATGGCAACCAAGATAATTAAAACTGGACACTCTTTGAATTATATGACCATCAACATATAACCGTGCATCTTGATGTGCTAAACGGCTATACACCATGTGTTTTATTTTTGAACAGTTTATGTTTAGGCCAAACTCTCTTCCCACTGTGTCAATGGCATTTAAAAGGCATTATAGTCCATTCATGTCTCACTTAAAATAACTGCATCGTCTGCATATCTGATTGTATTTATCAGAATTCCATTAACTTTCACGCCCCATTTCAAATTATGCAGCGCTTCTTTAAATATTCTGTATATATACAACCCTGTCTGACACCTCTTTGTATTTTACATAATTCTGTTGATTTTCCGTTTATGCAAGCTGTCGCTGTTTGACGCCAGTATAACTTTTCTATTAATCGTATGTCTTGACTATCAACTCCTTTATCTTTTAATATTGTAATTAATTTGTGATGCTGTACTCGATCAAAGGCCTTTTCATAGTCAATAAATACAGCAAAGACGTCTTTCCTTTGATTTTGACATTTCTGCAGTAATACGTTTAGTGCAAAGAGGGCGTCCCGAGTTCCCAGTCCATTTCTGAAGCCAAATTGTGTTTCATTCTGGTTTTCTTCACATTTATCTCTGATTCTACTGTGGATGATGCGTAGAAATATTTTCAAAGTGTGGCTCATAAGGCTTATCGTTCTATAATCGCTACAGTTTTTCGGACGTTGTTTTTTTGTTAGTGTTATGAATTTGGACTTTAACCAATCTTCAGGGATATCACCAGTCGAATAAACATCATTGAAAAGCTTGACCAGTATTCCAATGTTCTCCTCATTTATAAGCTTTAACATCTCTGTCCTGATATGTTACCAGGGCCAACGGCTGCTTCTTGTTCTTTGCTAACTTTATAGCATGCAGTTATTTCTGATTTTAGTATTTCTGGTCCTTCACCTTCAACTAAAGTCTCCAGTTCTTCGGGTCTATCATCATTATACAGTTCACTTATATAATTTACACGAGGTTGTTCGAATTTATGTTCGTCTATTATCATTTTTCCCGACGAATCGGTTATAGTATGTGAAGTTTTCTTATGATAAAGACCAGCTACTTCTCTAACTTTTTTATACATATTAAACGTATCATGTTTTTCATTCAACTCCTCTACTTCCTTGCATTTGTCCTCATCCATTTTTATTTAGCCACCTTTATTTTTTGTTAATTAGTTTCTGTTTTTCTTATATTCTGTCTTGTTACCTTTCAGTTTCCCTTTCTGCTCCATTAATTCAGGATTTCATCAGTCATCTATTGTTGTTTTTTGTGCCTGTGTAACGTTGTTGAATATTTTTTCTATTACTTTCAAGCTAAGATCTTTTAATGTGTTCCATATTTCTGTGTTGTTTCATTTATTGGTTTCTTTAGCTCATTGTTTAAGTCATTTTCTATTAACGTTTTGTTGGATATTGAGATATTTAATTTTGGTGTTTTTGGGGCTTTCTTGGACTTTTTTGAGCTTCACTTTGATGTCAGTTATTACAGGGTTATGGTCTGAACCGATATCTGCACCAGTATATTATTAAATCTGCACTTAATGTCTACAATAATAAATTACCAAACTATAAACTAGTATCGAAAACAATAAACTAGTTCTAATTACAACTACAACCACAATGATTATAATTCGAGAAATAAAAGATTCCGAAAATGCTAGCTAAAAATAAAAATGCGTTAAAAAGAAACATAAATGCAATGAGATAAATAGAAGCCTCGTTAAACATAACCATATTCTTCTTTCATCTTCTAATTTGTATATTTCAGTTCCACTACAGAACAAATTTTAAAGGCACAGCTCGGCTATAAGATAAGGATTTTTCTCTAAAAGAAGCCTCTGTCTTTTTTCACATAAATTAACGGTATTTAAAACTAAATATAACTTTTTAAAATAAAGTTTAGTAGGAAGATATTATATTTTGTAAAAAATATGCTTAAGTAAAAAAGTGACACAGTTAACATCTAGAAAACATCGCTAATGGGACGTTCCTCGGACGACCTTATGGGACGTCCCTGGTATGTCCGACTAGAAATATCCCTTGGACGTCCCTCGGACGTCTAAAAGAAGTCCCGGGACGTTTGGACCTTAAAATGGCATAAAATGGACGTCCCAGGGATGTCTTGTGGTGTTTGGGAGCATACACTATACAGTATGAAACTGCAAATAACAGTTTCTTTCTTTATTTATACACAACGGTATTGTACATTTTGTGCACACTATAATGTTTACCGTGTACAGCCTGGAAATTTGCATCTTGACCGAGTGCTCTCATCCCAATAGGGAAAATGATCGAGCCCATCTTTACGGATGTCTTCTTGGGGTATTTCTTTAGTGGGTCTCTTTTTTCGTTTGTTCTCGTACATCTGCTGAATGCTACTACTTGACGGTCTTCCTACATTGTTCTGTTTAATTGGTTTTTTCCAGCTTTGCATAGAGCATCGGCTATTCCTAGTTTTGGTATCCAAAAGGGGTAAATCAAATTTCTTCGCTCTTTAGAGTAATAACCAACATTTCACGGCTGTCATGTCAATGAAATGAAAAAATATTTCTAAATAATATTTCTTTCGACATGATTTTTATACGATAAAATCCTAACAAGCAATCAAGGAGATCTACTCCTCCCATTTAGTTGTTGTAGATTTGGACACTGTTAGGACAAGGGTATCATTTTATATATACTTTCTTGTTTGAAAAATCTTCTTTTTTCTCCCTTTGGTTCACTTCCAGCATATGTTGACATTATATGACCTCTGACGTCTTCTTCACTTCTTTCTCAGCTGGCATCACAACTCCAGGAACACGATTAAGTCTTAGTGTTGTTTTTCTTCTTCTGGTAGCACTACAACCCGGGGTGGGTCTTGGCTGACTGCACAACCTGCTTCCATCTCGAACGGTCGTCCATGATGTTTAAGTCAGTGGGTAGCCCCATTGTTCTCAAATCTGACCATATATTATCTCTCCATCGCATTCGTGGACGTCCTAAGGGCCTTCTCCCTGTCGGGACTTCTTCCCAGATTAACTTGGTAAGGCGGTTATTAGGGAGTCCTATGAACATGGCCAGCCCATCTTAGACGTTGGGATTTAATCTCTTGGACTACGTCGCTAGCATTATACATTTGTTTGACCTCGGCATTTGTTCTCATTCGGTATTGGTTAGTATTCGGATCGTGATAGGGACCGAAGATCTTTCTGAGGATTTTTCTCTCAAAGCATCTGAGTTTACTTTCCATTGCTT